CACACTTACAATCAAGGAACGGCCATAAAATGCCCGTGGAATGTCTCTGCAGAGCCGGACAGTTAAGTGGTGGAAATCCATGATCACAAACTAGAAGGACTCATAATGGATGCTCTGGGAACAGATATAAGTGGGCTCCCCATGTTCTTTGCTAACAAAATACATCGCACATGCCCATAAGGACATGAAAGCACAAATGGGCGCACGGACAGGCAAATGCATGCACACATGCACAAATGCACACACTGCACTTAGGGGCAGACAGTATTGATGGTTCCCTCGGGCATCACACGGACGCATCTGTTTCTGTCCCACCGACTCTGCACACTCATAATTTCAAGTAAGTCATAACACAAATTATAAACACATATCCCTCAACCGTGACGCCTAGGAATAACAACATGGAGCACAGTGAGCTGATTTAGGGTAGGCTGGGACTCTTAAATCTTAACCTTTCTTCTCTTCCTCCTCTCTCTCCTCCCTCTATTCTCTCTTGTGCAGAACAGGTAGCAGCCACTCTTGTGCAACACATACACTTCCCCTGTTCTCTTGCCCTCATCTCTTGACACCTTCTTTTTTATGGCGGTTTTTATTCTTGCTGCAGTCTACATCACTTCACCTTTTCTTCCTCTGAAATTGGTTTGAGCGAATGTACGCATGTGTGTATTTACGCTCTCTCTTGACCCCATCCCCCCCGTTACCCAGAAATCTGTCTGGTCTGCCAGCTGCCCATCTGCCCTGTGACATCACAGTCGTCTTTTCGACAGCATTCTTACCTCAAAGATGTCTTCATCAAAGTATTCTCTCCTCGTTTTTCTTTTCCTTGGTCCTGAATTATCTCCTTCTGCCGCACATCTACTTACTCCTCTCTTCTTTCACTCTTTGCATTCCTTTTTTTCCCTTTCCCCTGTTTTCCCTCTCACCTCTCATCGCATGGTCATGTACTTTAGCCATCCATCTCCCACCTCCGTAGATCTGAATGTCTCAATATGTCCCAGGGACCATGAAGGTTCAATTGGAATCACATGTTGTGGTCCAGCAGAGAATTTCACCCGTAATAAATAAGATATCAGCCCAGCGGATGCTGTTCTACAAAACCTTGCATGCTCTCAATGCTTATATTAAATATGAGACATGAGGTGTATATAAATGCACAGATGTTTATCTTATCAGTTAAACTATTGTTATCTCACAGAGTAGAAAAAAGCAGATGAGTTTCTTTGGGGTTTCCAGCAGCAGGATTTATTTCTCCTTTTATTGGAGTCCTTTTTGACTTCTTAGTGCACGGGGTCTGACTTTTATGAAGACTAATCACAAGTTTGTCATGAAAAAGCATTTCGATGCTGCCCTTTCAATCGGACAGGAAATGAAGATAATCCTTTGTTTGTCCAAGATACGCCAAGTCTAAGTTAAGCAGGGAGTTAGACAAGAAGGGAGGCAAAAGAGAGGTTTCACCCATTCAAGATCAGCCAGCTGATACAGTCCAAGCACTCTCTCTCTCTCTTTCTCTCTCTCTCTCTCTCTCTCTCTCACTCTCTCTCTCTACATGTGTGTGTGTATTTATCAGATAGATGATCCTGTCTGCTGGATTTATGTGCATTGCAAGTGTGTTGTACGGTGAAAGCCAAATGGCCTCTTAAATTAGATCTGATTAAATACTCCAGTGTGATTCAGGTTCAAAGACTGTTAATAATCAGCAGATACATGAAGGCACACACACACACACACACACACACACACAAACTCAATGCATGCACACAGCCACTGATTGAGGATGTGGGAGACAAAGTTTACAGGCTGGCTAATCATAATAATGCCCCTTTTTTATTGTTTTAGGAAGTCATCATTCAGCAGAACCCTGCAGTTCTACTCAGAGAGCAGCCACAGGGAGACCGTGCCACATATTCCGCTGGCTTCATTTAGAGACTGGAAGTGATTTAACTTGCAGTGAAGTGTGGAGGTCACTGTGGTTCAAAGGTTTCATTCATTCAGGCTCAGAACGTCTCATGCTCAATTAATAATTGTCAGCTCGGAAGTCTGTACCTGTGCTAATGAATGCAGGTGAGAGAGATGCAGAGTCCAACTAACTTTTTACTCTGATTGCACTGGTTGGCCTAACTTTTGTAATGTAGGTGTACCAACAATCTGTCACCGTTCCTTTTGGTGGCACAATAACACATTTTAACCTTTATGGTTTTTTGGGCTGTTTGAGCCATGGTTTATATGAGTCTTTCTCACACCGTAATACCATTTTTATTCCACTACATTTATTTGACTGCTTTATATAGTGTGTCTCTGTCACAGCGTTTACTCCAGCAGTTTTAATTAGTTTGGTAAAAAATTCAACCTAATGCTGCAATGAATGCATAGATACATGCATTTAAAATTGAAACAGTCTTTAATTCAGTTACATGTTGTATTAATAAATAATTACACATGTAAGCTGATATGAAATGTTTTAAAACAATAAAAACAAAACAGTACAGCTTGATATTAATAGCTGCACCACATATATGCCCACAAAATATATATATATCAGGTCTAAGAATCCGTTTTTACAGTGGGATTATCAATGTATTATCATTTTGCTGCCTTAACTCAACTGTATTGAAAAAAGGATAAGGAACGAATACTACTTCCATTTTTTCGATTATTACTTCGATGAATACAGGTGTAGTGTTTCACATTCACATGCGCCTTATTTCTAAACTCTTTTGTTAAACTGTGCATTTTTGTCACCGCAACACAAACAAAGCATCACATCACCAAAACCATGTCTGTCAGTAGTTCATTCAGGAGAGGCCACTTGATAAATGGGAGAGTAGCAATCCTTGATAAAGTGGCTCAGTGGTGGTCAGAAAGAGATGGATCTCTGTTTGGCTTTTTGAGATGCACTCAGAGATAAGATAAACCACCCCTTTAACTGGGGTGGGGGTTAGTGACCCTAACCTTTCACCACACTCTTTTCTTGCACCAAAGGGATGCTGCAAAACATCAACCTCTAACACTGCATAAGTGCTCTATTGGAAAAAATTAGTGAAACAGACAGAATAGTGTTTATATTCCAGTGTATTTCCAGTTACATAATAACCTTAATAAATCAAATTCTCAAGCTGAAGCTGATGCCGTTAATCCTGAATGTAATAAGGAAATGGATGGGTATGAGACGAATTTCCTTGTCTGGCAGTGTGGTGCAACGATGGCCATCCTGCGAGTAGGTTAGGGCTGTTAATCTGACACATTGTTTATGAGCAGCGACACATTCCTTGCCCATATATGACTCCGTGCATCAGCTTTTCACTCCAGTTAACATAAAGTAAAGGAATTGAGACGCCATAAGTTTAAAAATTCTATCACATTGTTGTTTGATGTGTGGGTTTATTTTTACTGAGGATTTATTCTATAAAACTTCTATAAAACTTCAAGAATTCTTTTAACAATTTTACTTTGTGAATGGCCAGGTCAAGCAGAATAATCCTGCAGTCTAAAGCACTTGCTCTGGTACAAGTGGTCCAGTGTAGGTCTGCTTCTATGTGTGTGTGTGTGTGTGTGTGTGTGTGTGCGAGCTCCCTTTACAGTGAGCATTAAAAGGAATAACAGTGGAGGTGTGGGGAGACGAAAAGTGTCACGGTGATCCTGCCCTATGATGAATGGTGTGATTAGCCGCTTCGATCCATGTCAGGACACACATGCATGCACGCACAAATACATGCACAACATGAGAGCACACACTTGAGCTCACAGTAACACAGAGGGGCCTATTAAAGGCCTTGAATGGGAGAATCCAGATGCGGCGCGTAGATAATTGTACTAAAAACACAGAAAATGCAGTCCCAGACCAGCAGGACTTTATGTCTGAGTTCAGCATGTTTATTTTCACAATTGAGTTATTTCTGCAGGGACTGAAATCATGGAATAAAAACACTCCAATGCAGGTCAATTTTTAATTGAGTCCAAAGTGTATTTGGAGCGCACCCACCCTCCTCCTTTTCCTTTACCCCTCACCTCACACATACCCACACATTACGTTACCATGCTGGTTTAATGCCCTCTTAATTTAAAATGCGATTTAAGAGTCTGGAGTTCAGCCATGTTATGTTTATCCAACTTAAAGTACTTTCAGTTCCAAGACACCAGTTAAAGCTTGATACTTTTGTGATGTACGTTCAGATGAACTGTTTAGAGATAGAAAAGACATAAATAAATTCATTCTATTACTGAACACAGTTTCCTTTATAATCATATTTTCACAGTGTGCTGGGGGCAACAAACCAAGCAGAGGAGGTGTGTGTGTGTGTGTGTGTGTGTGTGTGTGTGTGTGTGTGTGTGTGTGTGTGCCTGGCTATGTATGAGAATATGTTTGTGCTTCTGTGTTTACAAGAGTGGGTGGATAACATGCATGTTTGTCACTACGCTGGATTTACGACATCCTGTTTGATGACGAGGCTAATCAACACTAATCTGCCCCTAACGCGGGTTACGCAAGGCATTCTCCGGAGTCCTGTGGGATTGTGAGATCCTGTGGGGTTGTGTGTATGATGACACTTGGGTGGTATGTTTCCTCTGCACCTGTAGACAGTCATTTGTTGTCACCGTTCCCTCCCACACACACACACCCACCTCCACAGAAACTCACAGACACGCACTTATGCTGCGGTAACAGACAAAAGATGTCATATCCTCTTCAGCCTACAACATTAGTCACACTGAGGTACCACTAATGCAACATTTAGCCAACCACTTCAAAGATGTATGCTTGTTTTCTGTGTAATCTCTGTCTGATTCTGAGGACCTTTGGAATGACTGTGTTTGCTCTGACATATGCTTACGTCAAAGGCCTCACAGCTGCAGATGTGGGTGCTGTGTGTTGACAACATTCCCATTTTTCATCTTTTTGCACAATAAATGAGACTTGCTTTTGATAATTTGCTCCATATTGATAACATTCCTCCTCACCTTTTTCCACCTCTGTTCCACATTTCTTTCTGTCGCACCTTTAGGCAGCAGGCTTTGCTGGCAGCCATCAGTGAGAAGGATGCTAACATTGCTCTGCTGGAATTGTCTTCCTCCAAACGGAAGAAAGCCCAAGACGAGGTGATGGCTCTGAAGCGGGAGAAAGACAGGCTCATGCACCAGCTCAAGCAGCAGGTACCACAGGCTATTTATTCATGCATATAAATGATGAATCAAATTTTACAACTCTCCTGGTCTAAAAGGTGGACTGGCCTGCACATAAATCAAATGAAGCCTGGTTTTGCGGTCACCGTTTAGGACAAGCTCTTACTTTGTGAATCAAAGCAGGGTTACAAATGCAAACCTGCTGTCGACGGTGAAGCCTTCCCTGCATTTAAACAGTTTCTCTGCTAGATGTTTGAACTTTAAAACCAGGAAGAGAATAGTTAATGATTCCTGGTAGAATTCTCTCCCTTGCCTCAAACCACACGTACTGCATTCACTCATAATAAGCTAAACCAGCAATGCAAAAGCTGTGAGTCCACATCCAGGCACATAAACACATTGGGGTTTAGCTAGCTTAACAGTCATGTTGCAATCAGAGCTATTAGATGCACTCAGACTGTCTCAGACAAGGTTGGTATCATTGATGAGTCACCAGCAGACTTTTCTGTCTTCCATCATCTGGTCAAAGAGACATAATTCCCAGCACACTGACAGACACATACCTACGCACATACACACCTATTTCCCGTGTTGCCCTGGCTCTCACTATGACCGAAGACTGAAGAAGGTATGTTGGTCATTAAGGTCTGGTCCGACCACATCAGTGACTGAGCAAACGTGAATGCTAACGATAATGAGGCGACAGCAGGGAGTCAACATGTACGATCTCCTGAGTCACAGGGGCTTCTGGGAAACATGGTGCATTTAAAAGTCAACAGATGCAGTGTGCTGGCTGTGCATTTAAGAGCGAACCCATGTTTGCCTGTGTGTCTCATAAACGGTAAATAGTTCCTAGGGGGTGCAATTCCACTCAAGGAATTTCAAGGAAAGCCTATTATCTGTTTATCGCCAATGAATGCGTCATGTTTTCCTGTTGGGTAACAAGCCGTTACAGTCCACCTGATGATGTGATGAGCTCTAATTGCCACGATGTGGCCTCCAGACCTGAAGAGCAGAAGAGGAGTAAAGAGGGGTAAAAGAGGAGAAAGGAGAGAATGGGAGAGGAGGGAGTAGCACATGCATACACTTTCTTTGTCTCCACTTTCTCATGCATGCAAACCTACTTAGAAAGAAAGTCTTTGGGCGCACATGCATATAATTTAAATCCATATAACTGTGTACCAGGCAGTGCTATGACCACATAGCACAAGGGCCCTAAAAGAGTGGTACTTTGTCATCTCTTCATGTTTGGAGGGTGTAAGGTAAGTAGTTCCTCTTTGCACTACTTGGGTTCCTTCTATTCTACAGAATGAGCTCTCTTGAGGTTATGTTGTTCAACATGACACACACCGGCTCTCTGTCTTCTGACCCACTGACACACATATCAGGATAGGTTGCCTTCCTTGGCTCCTCATCAGCCCTTTGGTGGAAGGAAACTGACCAGGAAATGCCGAAGAATTATGGGACTCTGAGTCTCTAAGGAGAAAGCTGATCTATGGACAGCAGATAGATTTACAGATAGCAGTGCCCTGTCTGACCTCCCCACATCCCTCTTTCAGACGAACGTGTGTGTGTGTGTGTGTGTATGTGTGTGTGTGTTTGTGTGTGCACAAAGCAGGCAGCCCAAGAAAAACTTTCCTGTCTCAGACAGTTCACTCCCTTTTGAGGAATAGGCCTTCTTCAGCACAGTCAAACACATATATACAGAGACACAACCACTCGCTCACACAAACACACAGTTTAGACTTCCAGAGGAGAGAGTCAGAACAAATGTGTCCCCATGTGGGAATTCTCTGAGTGGTCCCATCGTAATGATGGATGGCCAAAGTCAATGGTGCTTTGAAGCTGAGAAAAGATTAATTTTGTGTGCCATTTTCTGTGCCTCTCTCTCTCTCTCTCTCTCTCTCTCTCTCTCCCTCTCCATGCCACATTGTTTTACTATTTCTTTTTCCTTCACATTACTTTCATTTTTGGACACACTTGAGCATCCACCCTCTCTCTCTCTCTTGCTCTCTCTCTCTCGCTCTGCTGAAAAGATGGATTTTGTGTTCTCAGATGTGTCACAGAGAACAGTTTACGTAAAAAAATCTGTCCACTTAGACTGGTACACTATGTTGGTCTGGGATAGCATGGCAATGATGTACACACACACACACACACACACACACACACACACACACACAGACCTGATTAAAGGAGAGTGGAGCTTTCCCCCAGCTGCCTGCGTGTTTAAGTCCTCTCTTCTCTGCCTCCCGTGTCCATATGTGTTAATATAGCACCGCTATAATCAAGACAGGCCTGTGATTTAAAGAGGACTTGGACTGAGGTTTGGGATGCAGCTGGAAGCTCTGCAGCCAGGGTTTATCACTGCCATGTTTACAAAAGGGGCTGTGCTTTGATACACAGGCACTGCGCAGACGTACAGCGCAGGCCAAATCTGTTATGGTTAGACACGTCAAACGAAGAGCTCTCTCGTTCCTCTCCTCTCTCCTCATCTCCTCTCTTCCCCTCTCCTCTCCTTGCAGCAGTGCCACCTGTGTCTATTCCCGGCCGCTTGAACTACAAGCAGGCCTGCAGGCCATTCCTCAGCTGTTTACTCTGCAGAGCCACTAATTAACTCTAATTAAGACGCACATTCCACCGCGCAGACATTTTACGTGTGCACACCTTCTTCACACATGCACACAGCAATATGTCTGTAAGGGGAGACTGTGCGTGTTTTTGTGTGTGTCTGTTTGAATAAACTGGATGTTCACATGCAGGCCGTCCTGACCACACAGTCTGTCTCCTCCAGCAGCAATTCATCACTTCATCCATTCCTGTTTGTGTCTCAGTTCATTAAATATTAAGTATGTGCGCACACACACGTGCGCACGCACGCACACACACACACACACATACAAACACACTGTAGGATGTTTGGCTTCTTATGCTACCAGATATGGTTGTAATTACAGGAACAAGTAGTATGGTTCTTATTAGATTAGCAGTGAGGACTAAACACACGTCAGCCGATTTAACCCTCAGCCACAAATTAGCTTTGAAAATATTTCTCTGCCAGAATTAAACAGCATTGTTAAGCGTTGAGGAGAGGTCTGTGTGGAAGCGGCTCCAGTATGCACTATGCAACAACACAGTTGTTTCATCAGCTGCATGGTATATGATAGTTATTGTCGAAACCTCAATGACAGGTGTCCGCTCTGCAACTGTTGCATTGCCACACCTGCTGTAGTGCCGGCACCTGAGGTCATGGAGGGCCGTACACCTCCACCTAGCCTTTAACTGGTCTAACCACCGGTGTGGTGTCTGTCTAAGCCTTGCCCCACCCCTCACTCTTTATCTCTATCTCTGTCTCGCTCTTTCCCTTAGACCACGGTGTCAATGTTCTCGCCTTATCTAAGCCGCTCTTCTTCAGTTAAAGCTAATTGCTAACCTCTTTAAAACTAGCCACATCCTCTCCTGTGATCCCGACTGGCTCGTTTCCTCAGTCATTAGTCCTCAGCTCCTTATCTCAGCAGCAATGTCCTCAGGCCGATGGCTACTGTAACACATCCCTCCTGCCTTCGCAGCTGACTCGGGCTCTTTGTCTCTTCCTGCCACGGCTGTCTTTCACTCTAAATGAGGAAAGCTGCAACATGGATGAGAGATGCGTGCATGTCTTTCATTCGAATCATCTTCATCCCGTACACAATCCCACCCCCCCGCTCTGCAGTCATGTTCACCCTCAGGGGAGGTATCTGCAGTAAAGGGAACAAAGCGAAGCCTGTCAATATATCTGCACCCACTCTGTCTCTGTCTATCTCCCTGACAGCTGGCCTCACTGGAGTTAGGCCGATTGTTAATGTTAGTCAGCCAAGGTTGTTATCTGTGTGCTATGATATTGGCAGAATGACAGCCTATCCAGCAGACACACAAATGCACACACACACTCAGAGGACACATAGTCCTATACTTAACCATTTACAGGCGAGCCAAAAGATGCATATTTGAGTGTAATTTTAATCAGTGACATCTTAAATGAGGTTGCTTCACCCAGGCCAGAATGCCTGCAGCCTTAGGCTACATGAGACTGTTCCTACTAGGATTCATCTAATCCAATTAAATGATAATCTGCTATGAGGGTGACGTTTGACAGACTTATGATATTTTTATCAGCCACTTCGACTCACTCATTTTATGACCTGTCAAGTGTTGTTAGCAGCACTGTTTTTTATCATCTTTGATAGCTTTCAACATGCTTCCTCCCCCCCACATCCAAGAATCCCTCAGCCTAATCATTCTAAGACCCAGGAACATTTTGGAGAAACAAAAAAAGTAGTGTTGGGGTAATAACGGGCGCAGTGTGTGCGTGATATAATTATATGTTGTAAATGTTCTTGTTTATCTCTTTTCCTGCAGACTCAGAGCAGAATGAAGCTGATAGCAGATAACTATGGGGAAGATCACGTCCACCCACAACACCATCCTCACCATGCTCACCACATGCATCCAGCGAACGTGCATCACAGGAGCCTGCCAAGAGGGCCCCCCCATGCTAACCACCGACCTCCTATGGACCAGGTAAATATATGGGCGCGCACACACACACACACACACACACACACACACACACACTCAACCACACCAACCAGATTAAAGCTGGAGTTTGTTTACAAAATTTGACATGTTGTGGGCTGGCAACCTCGTGCTTTTCAAGTTGATGTAATTTTATAGTTGTCATCTGCACCATCAGTGAGTTGTGGTCACATACATGCAGCACAAAATTCCCCCTCACTCTTCTCCTGTCTCTACTCCTCTAAACCTCAATTCTTCCTGCCAATTCGGTTATTCACATCATTTACATAAGAGGCCTGAAGAGGAAAAGCTTCCAAATTGTTGATTGTTTTGGATTGATGGGGATTGTGTATAACTTTAGCTGATGTGTATTTTGTCTCTCATACCAGCTCCTTTTTCTCTGTCTGAGTATCATAACCAGACTGCCCTTAGGACAAACTTAATGTCTCTGTTTGAAGACAGCTGAGGAACAAACTTTGGTTGTTATCAGCACAGTGTTTTTGTATTTGCATGAGTGTGTGCATGCCTGTGCATGTGCGTGTGTAGATGCACATGGAGATGCACACCTTAGTGTGGTTGATACTGTGTCCTCAGATGAAATCGCTAAGGGGAGAACACTGTCTTCAAAGTAAGACCGAGGTGATTTCACTATCTTTCCATTTGCCACAAAAGCTTCACATTATCAAATTATTTGAATGCAATATAAATCCATCAGAGCTTGATTGTTGTCAAGAGGCATTGATTGTGGGGGATTCCAAACTTCTGTGAGGATGGAGTGTACATGCTTGTGTGTGTGTGTGACAGAAAGAGTGTGTGTATATGGGGGTTTAAGATGAATACCTGGGGATTTCCACCAATTTCCCACATCTCTTCTGTCTGACTGCACTATTATATATTACTAGACGTTTATAAATGTTCCTGAAACTGCTGTATTAAAGTCAAACATGCATTTTGGAAAACATACACATGCATAGGATACAATCACACAGCCACAACCATGTATCACCCTACAAAATACCCCTGCAATATGTAAGAGGACAGGATTGCTGGTTTTAATTAAATTTTATTTTCTTGCCTTTTACGCCTGTGGAAGGTTTTTGATTCCTAAAGAATGTGAGGGTCTGGGGTTGATTGACATACATGTGCAGACCTTTCACTGTAGAATCTCAGACACACTTGAGTTATATGTTATAGAAGTTTACATTTATGTGGACATTTGTGTTCTCTTCAACTGCAGAAAGAATATACATTTAATTTTACAGCACACTTTGGTATGTGGAAGTTTAGAGTGAGGAAACGGACACGAAACACACAGTAGCTTAACCCTCCAAATCACCTTGTTATCCCACAAGGACCACTTTGAAATTCTTGCTGTGTAGTTATTAGGTTATGTTATATTATGTTTTACATATGACTTGCTAAAACAATATTTTAGAGCTATTAAGTCTCTGTATTGTTCCGTTGTATTTCAGAATACTTGTAACCACAGTATGCTTCACATTAGGCTGAGCTGCAGGGGGTCACATTTTAGTATCACACATTACTCCCTTGCACTTTGCATTTATAAATATCTTTCCCTCAATATGGCTACACAGCACTGTTTTACTGCAGCAGTGTTTATAGTGTTTGACATGTGAAACAGTAGCTCTCTGCAAGTGATATTTCAACTTTTCTAGTTGGAATGAAAAAGCCAAAGAAATTATTATTAGTATTGCTGGGAAACCTTGTTAAGAATGCAGTGAATAATAAAATAACACATAAATTCATGTCAATAGGTTGAATTACACTCTCTATTATATTTGACATTTTATGTTAACACAAGGGAAACATGATGGTTCACACTTTGCAGACAGTATCTGGGAAAAGATGGAAGTTTATTAGGGGACACAAATGGAAATATATTAAACAGTTCCTACATATGTGTAAATTTACTCGATTGTTTCAGTTCACTGAAACCTTGCATATGAATATGTATATAAGATAATCTAATCAAATGTGTATCAAGGGGTCATCATCCCCTCTTCAAAAACTAGGAACAAACTGATCTTGTGTTAAACACACACATCTCAAAAATCACAAACAGACCTTGTTGACAGAGGTCAGTCAGTCTGCTCATGGCTTTTCCTCAAATCTGATCTTTGACCTGGTGTGGAGGTCAGGGGCAAGGCCTCTAGTGTGTGTGTGTGTGTGTGTGTGTGAGAGAAATGGGGGATGTCTCCGAGTTGAGACTGTTTTCCCTCCAAACACAGGACTTCACATCTCCTTTAATCTTTCTCTTTCATCTTAACGTGATTAATTACTCCATTTGGTTTTCTTCAACACTATTTGTAGTTATATTACTACGTCTCTTTCCCCACTGCACTTATTTTCTTTCCTACCCTTCATTTCATCATAAACTTAACATTACTTTTCTTCCTGGAGTGTTTTCCCACCATTTCTCTCTGTCTCTTTCATTATTTCCCTCATCCCCCCTTCTTTCTCCATCTTTCTCATTTCAAATGTAATATCCAAGTGTGGCCAGGCCAGTGGTTCGGTGCATTGCCTGGTCCAGAAAATGCCACTCCATGGATGATTGATGACGATAATGATAATGATGATGAAGAGGGTCTGTACGCTCACCCTGGAGACCACAATGGCTTTCCAAGATACAGCTGGTGCCATGAATAACAGAACAGTGACCACACATTACTTTTTTTTTGCATTTGCATTTGCATGTGCTCAGACACATAAACACTGCATGTGCACCCAACATAAGCTCTTGAAATGAGGACACCTAAAAAAATGATACTTTTTCAAGGATCTAAACCACATGTCATTCAAAGCTTGTTGGTATAGTTAGTGGGTCCATCCCAATACTTAAACTATGCTCCATGTACTTCATCTGTGATGGACTTATTCAGAGGGCAGGTGAAATGTAACCAGAGGAGACAAGCACAGGAAGTGGATTTAGCCTCTTGTGATGCAGCCCAGGTCCGGGCCTGGGCAAACAGTGTGTGCAGTTCGACGGGCACATCATGCTCATGTTGTTCTCATTTAGCCGTGCCAGCACCACTGCCAGAGACTTGGCAGCAGCCTCGAAAGAAAATAGAAAACAGCCATATTATGTTTATCAGAGACAGAAATGTTCAACCTTTTCTTTTGGGTTGTTGTTATTTTTTTTCAAAGCCTCAACATGCGGCCTGCTTCAGGTTTATGAGAAGTAGCACATGGTATTTGACCTGTTTGTGGGTATGCGTGTGTTTAACCTGGCAGAATGAATGGATGTAGGTCTGGCTCTGTTTACAGGGCCTGTCACAGCCATTCATTGCATGTTAGCATTTAGCATCTAGCATGTTCCACTGAAAGGCCATTATATCTATAGCTTAGCTGCTTAGGTATAGTTTACCGAGCTTGTCACATCCAGTCAGTCCAACCAAAGCCACTGTGGACTGCAGCCAAGTCCCCTGTGTGTGTGTTTTTTAGTCTGGTATAGCATTAGCATAGACTCTGCTTTGCCGGAGCTTAGTTTAGTATTATGCAGGCAAGGGCTTGGCTATAGTGAGCTGCCAGCTCATGCTAACCATCGTAATGTTAGTGTCTGAGTGAATTAGCCTTCCTGTTAGCAGGGCTCTTGTCTGCACAGTTTCAGCCTCAAGGAAACCCCCTGTGTGTTTAGTTATTGGTTCCTACAATCATACTGAGGAAAGCAATTCATGATATCACACACAGAATGAAGAACATGACTAAATTGTTTTTAAATTAAAATCCACAGGGGTTTTGGGAGGAAATAAGATTGGGGAATGACGTGTAAAGACATAACCACTGGGCCAGAGTTTTTGTAAACAAAGGGAGGCCATCGTTTGCCTCATACTGTATGACTTTTGACATAAAGTGCAACATGTAGCCTGGTGGTTAATGAATGGATGATGACATGTTTCCTCTATGTTTTCTCACAGGATGATGAAGAAGGAATATGGGCATGATGACCACCTCCATGGGAACCCTGCATCCAGGTGTTAATAGTAAGTCGCTAGTAGTGTTACCTTTCTTTACAAATTTAAGCATTAATATACTCCAGTGTGTAGTCCTTTATATCTGCCCTGGATATTTTAATGATCTTCTACACAGTAAACCTTTTCAGTGGACTCAAGTAACCATTAGCTGGGAACGCTGATGGTACCACAATAACCACAGCATTACCCAACTCTGACAGAAGAGAGCGTAATAGAACCCAGCTCCTTTTTCCGCGATGCTTATGAATTTCAGTAGACTAAAGACCCTCAGTTGATTCAGTGGTTTATGGCTGGTTTTCTGTGTAGTTCTCATATCCTGGTCATGCCTCCGCTATATAGGCAACTGTGGGGTATTAGAACTATATGCACCCAGCAGCCTAAAGCAAGCAGGGCCCTGAGGTGATAAAAACGACATGGTGAGAAAAACCAGAGATGGACGAGTCTGTCTATCCACGCCCTGCTTTTTCAGTTGTAGTAAAGTTTTACCATGCTCCCCCTCCCCGTTGTGTGCCAGTGTGTGGGGTAGTTAATTACAATACAACGCAGAACAGTCATGAAGCCCTTTATTTTAAGGCTGCGAGCTGAAAAAGCATAAAATAAAGAATGCAGAGTCATAAAGGATAATTCCTGTTTTGGGGGTTTTATATCGAAGCCCCCCATAGACTCAGGATGCCTTTGAACGTAGATGTGCGGAAAGAGGTCTGTGCAGGGAGGGTTGGCTAAACAGTTTCCTTGAAGCTAATGCAAGCGTTTACAATTCAAAATTAGAGACGCGCAGAAAAAGATAGAAATGCACATGCGATGAATGAGAGAGGTGGAGAAAGAGAGAATGGGAAAGATAAGGGCAGGCAACGTGTGCTTAAGTATTTATGTGGGAGTGAGAGGGGAAACCAGGCAGCATGGTACACTCATAGTTTCCAGTGCATCTCATTCTTTTCCCCCAGTAATCCACAGGTGGACCATCACAAGCGAAATCTGCCTCTAACCTCAATGACTTAGTAGGAGTGCACTTTGCCCTAGCGCTGCTTTTGGGATTATGAGTCCTGTTCGCTCGTGTGTGAGTAAATGGTTTGTCTTCTTGCAGTGCAAAGCTTTAGTGTGTTTAGCTATGATGTTTGTGTGTGTACGTGCATGTGAGTATGTGTGTGCAAGGGAGCATTGCTGAGCTATACAGTGCCGGATCGGCCCACATAGCCTATAATCCAGTCCATGTGTGCTGAGAATGCAGTAGTGTCAGGATTCACCGTAATGAAACCGACCACACTGCCCTCTTTCTCCCTCTCTTTCCATCCCTCCATCTTTTTCCATAACTCTCGCTCTTTCCACCTCTTTTCAGATATTTAGCTTGTCCTGCTCTAACGTATATTCCTTCAAGGTAAAACCAAGAGTTGGACCAGTGACTAACCTACTGCTTTGGTATCTCCAATCAGATATCACCAATATGTGTGTGTGTGTGTGTGTGTGTGTGTGTGTGTGTGTGTGTG